TGGTGATATTTAGCGCCCTCTGATTATTCCGCACGTTTGATGGTGCTACATAGCCTTCCCGGTTTGGTGCCTTCTTTTGATAATTACTTACTTGGTGTTTAGGAACCTGGAATTAGAAGTGTTGAACTCCATCTTGGCTCCGTCTGTCCCTCCTCTTCCTTCCCATTGTGTGGTTCACCCTTCCTCTGATCCTCTACCCCACTACTTCTAGCCCTGAAACATCGGAGGATTTTCCGGGATGATTACCTATCTATGATTATGAAGAACAAAATCCCTAAGGCTTGGTCTCTGACCAGGCCTCATGGCTGGTGGTCTGGTCAACCAGGCCGTTCAGTGTAGCTTCTTGCAGCCTGACGTATGATTCACAGCCTGGTTGATCTGGTATTCTTTGAAGGTGTGTGTCAAGTTCTTTCATGAACACTGCGACAGGTAGCCCAGTTATGCCCTGTATGTGTAGAGAAACTGTGGAAAAATCTTGGGCCTTTGATGTTGATTCAGTTGTCTCTCAGTGTACCTGGATGGGGTTCTGAAAGTTCTTCTCCCCAAGCCTGTGAGAGCTTGGTCAACAGGCTGTTGTTTGGAGTAGCCTGCAGGCCTGCATATCCACTACATCCCAGTTGGTCCAGCACTTCAAGAAAATATGTTTATCCGGTTTTTCCTTGAAGTCGTCCACTTATGTTCCGGTAATATTTCTTATACTCGTGCATTTTGCGTGCATAGTGTACTTCTGCTTTTTCATTTCAAAGGGGCTATTTTGCACATCCTTCCATGTCTTCTGGTTTAAGGTGATGTTATTTGTGTGTGCAGATTTGGAACCAGTGCTTCTAGTACTTTCCAAGTATAAATTATTATGTATTTCTCCTGCTAGCACTCTAGGGAATACAGATTCAACATTTTTAAGCGGTCCCAATAATTTAGATGTTAAGTGGATTCTAGTAGTAAAAGATCTTTGCATGCTCTCCAGAATCCTTAACCGTAGGTTAGTTAAGTCCGAAGCGAGTATAGTATGCATAACCGTGGTAAACTTTGAACATAGAAGGAAGATACTCACCAGTGCATATAACCTAAAATTTCTTGACGGGTATAACCATGTCTATATCTCCCCAGACCACACAGTTGAACAGCAAACAAAACGACAGAGTACTAAGAGGAAAGCTAAGAGAGTTAAGGAACTTAGAAGCATACAAAGACTCAAAGCTATGAAGGGGGAATTCCTCCTACCAGGTTATCATCCACCGTTCAGAAAGGACAGAGCAACAAGAGCAGGTGTATTGCTTTAAGTGAAAGAGGACCTGAATGCAACCACCAATGAGGAACTGAACACCATGGGATCCTCAGTTTGTATGGTGCAATATAATAGCTCAACATGGTAACATACTGACAGTGGGAGTATGCTACAGGGCTGACACAGCAACAGCAGAGGAAGATAGTGATCTGCATAATGTGATCAATGCAGCGTCACAGACCCCAAAACTCTCATAATGGGTGATTTTAACCAAGAGACAATAGACTGGGTAAATCTAACATCACAAGCAGATCAATTTCTAGACCTGGTGTAGGAGTCATTTCTCAAACATGTGGTTGAGTCTAATCAAGGTAACAGCATTCTGGACCTTGTGCTAACACCAGAAGAGGGCATGACGGATCAAATTCAAGTAGGAAAAAGCTCACCCCATCGTGTGATCACAATATTTTTAAGATGGAATACAATTACATTAACTCTCGTAAAGGTCCAGGATGATGACCTTCTAGATTACTATCAGGGAATGAGAGAAGAATTGCAAAAACACCTCATGGAAGGAGCTGATAGGTGATCGGGGCATAGAAACAATCAATTTCAAAAAGATCATTGAACTCATACAAAGATATGTGCCAAAAAGGAAAAAGAAAAGAAAGGGAACAAGAAGGATGACTAGTAAAAATAGCTAATAACTAATTGGAACCTCTGGAGACTATAAATCAACAATGAACATCATGGCAACTTATATATATATATATATATATATATATATATATATATATATATATATATATATATATATATATATATATATATATATATATATATATATATATATATATATATGTCGTACCTAGTAGCCAGAACGCACTTCTTAGCCTACAATGCAAGGCCCGATTTGCCTAATAAGCCAAGTTTTCTTGAATTAATATATTTTCTCTAATTTTTTCCTTATGAAATGATAAAGCTACCCATTTCATTATGTATGAGGTCAATTTGTTTTTATTGGAGTTAAAATTAACGTAGATATATGACCGAACCTAACCAACCCTACCTAACCTAACCTAACCGATCTTTATAGGTTAGGTTAGGTTAGGTAGCCGAAAACGTCAGGTTAGGTTAGGTTAGGTAGTCGAAAAACAATTAATTCATGAAAACCTGGCTTATTAGGCAAATCGGGCCATGTATAGTAGGCTGAGAAGTGCGTTCTGGCTACTAGGTACGACATATATATATATATATATATATATATATATATATATATATATATATATATATATATATATATATATATATATATATATATATATATATATATATATATATATATATATATATGTCGTACCTAGTAGCCAGAACGCACTTCTCAGCCTACTATTCAAGGCCCGTTTTGCCTAATAAGCCAAGTTTTCATGAATTAATTGTTTTTCGACTACCTAACCTACCTAACCTAACCTAACCTAACTTTTTCGGCTACCAAACCAAACCTAACCTATAAAGATAGGTTAGGTTAGGTTAGGTAGGGTTGGTTAGGTTCGGTCATATATTTACGTTAATTTTAACTCCAATAAAAAAAAATTGACCTCATACATAATGAAATGGGTAGCTTTATCATTTCATAAGAAAAAAATTAGAAAAAATATATTAATTCAGGAAAACTTGGCTTATTAGGCAAATCGGGCCTTGCATTGTAGGCCAAAAAGTGAGTTCTGGCTACTAGGTACGACATATATAAAAATAAAAGGGCATTAAATTCAGGCACCCAGGAAATCAGATTAGCCAAAAGAAACTATGAAAGAAAACTTGCCCAAAACAATAAAGGAAGATTCAAAATCATTATATGCATATATACGTAGTAAAACCAAAACAGACTCTGTAGGACCCCTAAAAGATTAGACTAACCAAGTTATGTTGGATGATAGAAGGGCAGCAAACACTGAATGAATACTTTACATCAGTGTTCACACTAGAAGGATTCACCTACACTAATGTCTGAAGGTGGTGAAGAGAATGAATTAAGGGATATACTGATTACATACGACACAATCGGTAAGAACATTGACAAACTACAAGACTCAAACGCCCCAGGTGTGGATCCAAAGTCGTAAAGGAATTGACAAATGCACCATGTCTACCACTGAAACTTCTTTTCAGAAAATTCCTGGACCAAGGAACAAGGGATAGCCCCCGTATTGAAAATATGCAAATGTTACGCCCATTTTCAAACAGGGCAGAAAGAGCCTGGTAGAAAACTACCTTCTGATCAGCTTGACATTGCACATCTGCAAGCTCATGGAGAGAATCCTAAGGAAGTGAATCATACATCATCTTACAGAGAACAATCTTGTAAAATGAACACATGGGTTTGTTAAAAATAGATCCTGCCTCACTAATCTGCTCGCATTTCTGGAAACAGTAACTTTCCGAAGCAAAGGATTTCGGTAGATGTAGCTTACATGGACTTTGCTAAAGCTTTTGATACCACATGAGACAGACACATGGAATAAATGGGAGAATACTGGAATGGATAAAACAATGGTTAAAAACACAGAAAACAAAGGGTCATGTTAAATAGGAATTAATTTGACCGAGGAAATTGCTAAGTGGGGTCCATTTTGAGGCCAATCTTGTCATATAAAACAATGACAATCACATCAAATTTGCAGATTACACTAAGATCTATGGTGAAGTGGGAAGTAAAAGTGATACTGTAGAGAAACCTTACAAAGAAATCAGCATGAACTCCATAACTGGTCAGATGACTGGCAAATGCTCTTTAATGTTGATAAATGCAAGACCTTACATGCAGGGCATAACAATCCACATTCACAACTACCAAATTGACAGCACTACCCTACAGCAGATAAATGAAGAAAAGGATCTTGGAATCGGAATCCATCATTCACTAAAAGTTGTACAAGCGAGAGCGGCAGTAAAACAAAGCGAACCAAACCTTGGGAATAACCAAGCGTACCTTTACCCACTGGGAAAAAAAAAAGTAGTTGTTCAATTGTGTGTCTCTGGTGCACCCCCACCTGGATAATTGCATTCAGGCAAGAGACCCCATCTTCAGAAAGACAAAAGCTGCTCTGGAGAAGGTGCATCACTGGACAACAAAAATCATACCAGAGCTTAGTCATATCTTGTATCAGGAACGGTTGAGGGCCACCAGGCCAACAACACTGCAGACCAGGCATGACAGGGCAGATCTCAGAAATAGTCAAAAAACTAAATTTGGACAATGTAGATCCCGACACTTTTTTCAAAAGATTAGATGGAACACGAACAAGGAGCAACGGGTTCAAGCTCAACAAGCCCCAATGTAGGATAGAAAACAATGCCTTGTCACCCATAGGGTTGTAAACCTGCTGAAGCCGTAAACGCCAAAACTCTGCTGGGTTTTAAAATACAGATAGAAAAGATCAGGGGGAACCACTGACAAACTGCCAGCTTCCTATCCTTGTCAAGGCCACTAGTATTAGTGGCCCTCGGGTAAATTTTACCCGTCCCACCCCCTCCATCAAAGCAGCACATTTCCCCGCTAGGGGCCACAGCCACTGGGCAAGATTAACTACCAGATGAAGAAACATCGGGGAATGTACAGGTCATGTATAGCTGGCACACATGCAATCCAGTTTTGTGTTAAGTTACAGCAGCTTGAAGAGAAGAGCCAGAGCCTCATCTTGAGGAGCCACTCACCAAGTGGGGTCATCTACTGCATGTGTATACTTTTACATCGAGTGGATAATTAAACAAAACATTGTGCAACTATAATTTCATATACTCATTGTTTCTATGTACATAATTTCATTAGCAACTATAGAAATATAAAAAAAATCCTACACAATTCAACAAAATTACAATGCAATAGAACTGTTTACATCACATCCAGGTACTATTTATAGGTGTTCCTTGAAACCAGTTAAGTATCATAACTTATTAAGCTTTTGATGGTTAAATCTTGAGTAAATGTAGACACATGGCATTCAGATAAAATTACAAATTCTGTATTATTAATGCTGTATCACAATGGGTTATTTTATTTACCAGGAAAAGTCAAACAATTCCTTATACTGTATATTTCTAGAATTTCCTAACCAATATCAAATGTCTCTGGATAAGTTTAGGTTATCTTTAAGTGTTGCCACACAAAATTTGTGGTTTTATATTACAAATCTGAAAATTTTTATTCAATATTTCTGTTAACTCGTACGGCAAAATCTGAATCTTTTCATCCTAGACTATCTTGAGCTTTGATATAGTGTAGTGTTCATTATAGTGACATTACCATGAACCATATATTGCAACACACTATGGAATCAGTGCTAAACATATTTATTATCATCTGAACATTAGAAACTTATCCACAAATAAAATAAAATTCCCCTTGAGAAAACATGTCATTGGTGATATTCAGTTGTTCAAGAACAAATATAGTTTAACCTGGTTATATTTACAAATGTAATCAAAAAGTCTTATCAAGTTATCATATGGGGGGGGAAAAACAGCTTAAAGTCTCATGCCTTTTATAATTTACACGAGGTACAAAAGATTCCTGAACCATCTGTGAGTGTCTGAATAAAGGAACAAGACATAAAAAGGGGCTTGTGAAATAATTTGAAATTGGGCATAAAAGAACATTGCTTTACAGGTATTGAGAGTAAGCAAGATCAGAACATGGAATTATTATTATTAAACAATTTAATGTAAATTTTTGATTAGGGGAAGGATCTATCATTGGTGCTTAAAAGTGCATAATTTACAACAACAAAAAAGCACCTTATTAATTAAGGAAATTTGGGTAATGTGAGATAAATTTTATTTCAAAGTCATACAAGTATCAAGTATCATTTTCCAATGATACTTGACACCATGCTAAAATCTATATTTAAATGCGGTATATTAACTGATCAAACTTTCAACTCAAAGGCTGTACCTTACAAAGCACATTATGATCACAATACAATTACTGTAATTAACTTATGTACAAGCTATAGTATTTACATGCCATGAATCAAAACCCATTTCTGGTATTAAACTGAACAGTGCAAAACAGTGACAATAATAATTTGTAAGTGATACTCCATTTGTTGCAACAATTGTATTAATTTTGCAACAAAAATAATTAAATTGCAAAACATAATTCAAAATATATGGACTGGAATTTATCAAAATATATGCAAAATATAACGAAATTAAGTGCAAAACCTGTTTCTAATTCAATAATACTTCAATGGCTTCTGAAAATCTGGGAGAATGCCTTTTATAGTGTAGTAGTTAAGCTTCTACAGCATTCCACGAGTAACAACGCCAGAGAGTGATGGACCGGAGAGAGAATTGAGGCCCATTTCTTCTTCTTTGGCCTTCGTTAGTGATGCTAGAGCCTGTGGGACATTAATTTAACAATGGTTAAAAAAAATAAGATGCATGGCTGGTAGTCATAAAGAAATATTTATAATAAATATTGGTTGCATGACAGTTTTAACTGATAACAATAACCAACTGCCATTTTCCCATGAAAATCTTTCCCAATTAGGTTACTCTAGGAATAAACTGGCCCTTAAACCAAAAAACAGGGCTACACCCTACCCCTAATTTTGCCTCTCTATCACCAGAATTCTTTGAGGTAAATGCGACGCTGCCTAGGCTTCAACCCAAATTTATATAGCTCGACACTCATTTTATAAATTCTACCAATTTGTGACCCCCAAATGCATCTGAAAAGTCACCAGTATATGGTACTGTAATATTACAGTATTATTATTATTATTAATAAATAATAATAAATTATTATTATAATAGTAAATAATTCATTATGTTGGGAGACAGGCAGCCAATGTACACACACGTTAGGCTTGTACCGAGGTCCCCCCATGTCAAATTACTGACCTCCAGGATGCAACCCCAAAACAAGCCGACTAATTTCTGGGTACACATTTACTGTTAGGTGAACAGATGCATTAGGCGACAGGAAATGCAGTCAACCATTTCTGTCCTACTCGGGATTCGAACCTGGAATTCCCAATGGACTCGAGAACGAACCTGACTGTACTGGGACCCCAGCTCTATTAATTCATACCATGTACTGTATTATAAACAAACTAATTTGTCCGAGGAGGACAAATGACAAGGCACTCTTACTACTATCTAGTACTGTTGCATGATTAAATTTTCAGTCTTCATTTAGATATCATGGCTATTAATTTGTACGGAATGAAATTTTGACTCCTACGCTGATTAAACTCTACGTTAGAATGAAAATGGTTTAAGTATCACTACGCAAAATACACAATTTGCTTAATATTAACACTTTCCAGCCTCTCTCTGCATTCCCAACCGTCAACATTCTGGCCTCCCTTGACCACTTAATGGCTGATTACCGATGTGAAAAATGCTTACAAGCATTTAAAGTTTTCCAAGTTATTTATTGGGTTATAACTATAAATTGTCAAAATGTTTGCAAATGATAATAAATGGAAAAACCATATTAGATTTATAAACGATTTTTTGCCTCTGCATGTTCTTGACCATAAACAAAGCAGGCTCGGTAGGTTCCAGCCCACTTCCCCCGTCAGTGATGCTTACAATGTTTACAATCATTTTATGTTTTCTATGATATTTTTGGGTTATAACTATACATTTGATGTCAAAATGTTCACAGATGAATTCTCTAAAGAATAGGTGCATAAAGGATTTATAATCGAGTATGCACTACAACACTGAAAATAGAAATGTTTATGAATAGCAATTGAAAGATTTTTAATCATCGGAATGTTTATCTCTAAAAACGTTTACTATAGATGCTAAAATGAGTCACCAGAATGGAAAGTGTTATAATTACTGTTATATTCATTATGCATTACAGAAAACATGATTATACACTCATTATACAATGCAGAAAACTATTTTTCTGTAATGAATAATTTTTTATTGTATTTGTCAGTTAAACTACAGTACATACAGGTAAAGGACCTACCCTAAATGAACGTGGCTCCCATATTGCCATGTTCTGCAGAACCTTTCTGTCAAGCGCAACACCTACATCATCCATAACTACCTTCATGTTGGTGTAGTTGGTGCCCAGCTCGAGGCACCCCGCAGTAAGCCGTGTGTCCCATAGCTGATGTTCAAGATAAAATAATTAATATACAGTACATATATATTACATCCCAGTACAGTATATAAATACAAGATCAGTTCCCAGCAGTATCAAAGTCACTTTGGTGGAACATAAAAAAAAGATTGCTCCAATTAAGTGTTGGGAACCAAAAGGTTGCTCCATAGAGGTTAACCTCAACCTGCCTAAGTTCCTTGCTCTATACCAGGGTTGGGGAACATTTTTTTCTGCCAAGGGCCATTTTAATATTTATAACATCATTTGCACGACTTGCGCATGTGCACCACTAATTGTAATTACACACACATTCAAAAGGTGACACCCCTAGTGTCAGCACCTGCATCAGAGCTCCAGGATATTTCACAATTCCTAACTATTGTAGTACAGCTTGATAGTGAGTGGTGTCCCAAGGAACAAGGGTGTAGTGCTTTGGAAAAATAGATGAGAAAACACGAATGTGCCATGTAATGTAAAAAATTGGACGAGAAAAAGTTGCCCTAATAATCACAGAGCAGACGACAACATTCAAGATGGCCACCAGCAAGAAGGAAAAAACAGAGCTAGATTTGGAGGGTTTTAATGAAGAAAGCATTGATATAAGCAGTGTACACAACAAATTGGCAAAATTAGATATTATAGTGAACTATCCTGTAGAAATAATAAGCAAATTTAAAGAAAGTAATGAGCACTTAAGTAGCAAAGTTTCAGGTCTTGAGGGGTTAGTGAAAGACTTGTGCAAGGACAAGAATCAATTGGAAACAAATTGCAAAGCCATGGAAAATAAACTCAAAACTAGCTTTGGAAGAAGTTAAAAGCAAATTTAAACATAAATGACTAACAGGTTAGGTAAGGAAATTCAACAAGAAAAACAGCTTTTGTCAGTACAGATGGAGGAAGTTACACAGGGAATAGAACTGTGCAAGAAAGATATGCAACTCGCCTATGCACAAGTGGCCAAGGAGAAGGAAAAAATAGAAGAAGCAGTAAAGGAAGCCAAACACTGCAGCAACCAGGATAAAAGAAACATTAGGCTGGAAGTCAAAGAAACTGGCATCAAATCCTAAATTGGTGCAAAACAGTAGATCGAAGTCTCTGATAATTTTTGTTGCAAAGAAAAGGAGATAACACCTAGGTCCGAAAGAGCTGTAGAAGAAGAGAAAGTAGTAGATAAAATTGTTGGCTTTGTGGAAGGTCTTACTACCATCGAGAATGTCTGCGACTACAGGAGGATTGGCAAGTACATAAAAGGGAAAGATCGACCTTTGAGGATCACCCTGAACAGTGCCAAACAGATGGAAGAAGTACTAAGAAATGCTAGAAAATTACAAGGTGACGAGGTAAGGAAAGTATGGTCGTTAAGACGAGATCTTTCAAAAGAAGCCGAAACTGAACCTCGTCGAGGCAAAACATTTAAATGAGGTGGAATAATGGGGGGATTCCTCTCATCCACCCAACCACCCCTAGATCCCATTCTTTGTCAGAATTCTTTAAAGATTTCTCACATCTTTAAAGAATTCTGACAAAGAAAGGGATCTAGGGGTGGTTCTAGATAGAAAACTGTCACCTGAGGACCACACTAAGAACATTGTGCGAGGAGCCTATGCTACACTTTCTAACCTCAGAATTGCCTTTAAATACATGGATGGAGAAAAAGAAATTGTTCACGACTTTTTAGACCAAAGCTGGAATATGCAGTGGTTGTATGGTGCCCATATCTTGAGAAGCACATCAACAAACTGGAAAAGGTGCAACGACATGCCACTAAGTGGCTCCCAGAACTGAAGGACAAGAGCTATGAGGAGAGGTTAGAGGCATTAAATATGCAAAAACTAGAAGATAGAAGAAAAAGAGGCGATATGATCACTACGTTCAAAATAGTAACAGGAATCGATAAAATTGATAGGGAAGAATTCCCGAGACCGGGAACTTCAAGAACAAGAGGTCATAGATTTAAACTAACAAAACAAAGCTGCCAGAGAAATATACGAAAATTCACTTTTGTTAAATTCTGTGGGATGCCACTCGTGACATCTTGCCATTTTGATGTCTACCCTCTTCCAGCAACTCACAGTTTCCCATTTCTTAGATACTCTTATCCACTGAGCACCTTACCCGTTATTCTTGCCTGCTTTTCCAACTTTTGTGCCAGCCTCTTATGGGATACTGTCAAAGGCTTTCCAACAAGTCCAAGAACATGAAGACTGCCCACCCTTCTCACTCTTACCCAATTTATTTTGCCTGGTCATAGAATACTGTACAGTACTATTAAACCTGTGAGGCATGATTTACCATCCCTGAACCCCAGGATGGGTAGGAGGTAAAAGTCCAATACTGTATAAATATGACAAAACTATTAGGTGAGAAATCAGTCACAGTGGTAGATTAAGGTCAAGAAGCAAGGCCCAGGGGGGGTACAAAACTTCATTGCTCTGAAACAAGAGCACATACACACACACTGGCTAGCCAATATCAAAAGCATAGAATTTAACAAAAATAAACATAGCTGTATATAAAAAAATCTATAAATATTTAAGACAATTTTTTTATTGGAATGCACTAAAAAGTCATAGTTACATATTTTCTAACTAGAGATTCTTTACCTCTTCTACTTCATATAAAATCAAACAATGGTAAATGCTTCAACGTACCTGTTTGTTGTCATATTTCTTCAGTTTACGTCCTCTAACTCCATAGCGTAAAGCTCGGCTGACATATCTAACAGCAACTGTATAGCAGTTCTTTTTGCGGCCGAAGAAATGCTGAAAGTTTAAATAATAACTTTAAAAGATTGATACAGTACTGTGATGTGGCCAAAATAAACTTTTTTACTTCAGTACAATAATTCATACATATACAGTAGTAGTATTGATTAAAAGAAGGCACCAAACTGGGAATATATAAAAATATATACAGGTCGACTATTTCCAATTGCCTTATGAAATCAAACACCACTCCAATCTCCTATCCATGTACCTAATAATTTTTAGTACCCGTCGTACATATGTTAATACTGTACTGTATATTTTATATATTCGGCTAAAAAACCAGTCATGATTTGTCTTTAAAATATACCTTAAAAATGAGTAAAGATCAGAAAAAACTACACAATTGTTAAAGGAAATAAAATTGTGTTTCCCAATAAGAAAAAATAATGAATCTGGTGTTTATTTTTACTACCAAAATTCTATCTTGATAAAAAAACATTTATCAAAAAGTTTTCTAATAATTTTGTAAACCTTGCTGATTTTTGTATTCTGAAAATTTCATGAAAATTAAATGAAACCCGAGGGCTCACATCAAGTTAGTTTAGTTCATTTATTATGCACCCCATACCCATCTTGTGGCAGTAGTGGAAAGGGTTAGAGGCACATAATGGGCTCAGAGACTGAACCCCACAATTCATTTAGCTAAGCAAGTTACAATCTTGATGAGCTAGTTACAAAATTCAGAAATTTGCTCACATCAATCAAATCATGCTCACATAAACAAATCTAAAAATTCGCATTTTGATATTTGAATTTTACCCCCAAAAATTGCATGGTCACAAATCTTCAGCAATATGCATTTCCTGCCCGAAACGCTTTGCGTAATAGTGGCTTTAGGCATTGTATGTACTAGCTCTTATCTATAAAGCCAACAAACTTTGTAAAATCTCTATGTATGTACCTTTGCCTAAATAAAAAATTATTATTATTATTATTATTAATTACATAACTTTGTATATACTTACCAAAGATTTGTATTTAGTTAATCTGATGTCTTATATTCTCATAGAAAGAAAAAAAAATCTGAATTAGATAGCAATTCACAATTATTGCAAAATTTTCTTGCAGCTAAAAACCTCCAAGAGGAAGCAATTGAAAGATGGAAAGGAACAAATTTATAAAACAAGAGTAGACAGCCTGGGCTTACCTGTAGGAGTAAAATGGCTGGAGAAGAGGACCTGGTTTGGTTCTATTAAAAATAGAACCAAAACACCTAACCTCTGCATAATTATACACAATACTGCTTTATATTAAACACACATATAGAGGAAGGGTTATGAAAGTGGCACAACTAAACTATTGTTGTTGTATAGTTATATCAAGGACTGGGAACTGGTGGCACCGTATATGACGGCCACGATACACTAGGCCGCCTCCCCCATACCAATATGAAGCCACACATTAGCCTCAGCAACTTGCCATCTCAAAAATGCAAAATTCTGCAGGTGACGGCAAACATACGACAACAAAATTGACCCATGAACTTACTGCACTTAAGGAGAAAATCCTTCTCCTCTTCCAGTACCGATCACCTCCCCTGGCTCTGGCGAAGAGTGTAGGCGACGACACCACCATGTTGGCCCCGCTAGTGCTGCCTCACCTCAGCCACACTAATGTTGGGGTAGTACTGCTGTCCTCCTCCCTCTTGGGGGGTAACTGGGCGCTGCTGGAGCACCTTCCTCCTGTGGTGTGCTGAGGGCGTTAACTCGCCCAGCGCACACTGGTGTCAGCGCACACTCGTGTCAGCGCACATCTATCTGGACAAAAAAAAGGCTTTCGACAGAGTTCCACATAATCAATTTCTTAATAATAATAATAATAATAATAATAATAATAATAATAATAATAATAATTTTTATTTAGGTAAAGGTACATACATAAAGAGATTTTACAAAGTTTGTTGGCTTTATAGATAGATAGCTTAAAACTAATGGGTAAAAAGAATAAAATGTGTTGAGTACAAATAAAAATAGAGGTAAAAGAGGGGGGAACATTGTTGAAAAAGCAGCACAAATACAATTACAAATTATTACAGAAAATTACATTCAAACAGCGTTGATTTGAAAAAAAAAAAAAAAACATACATGGGTTGACAACAGAGGGGTAAGGTAGGTTACAGGGAATTTATTAGGTATAGCTTCGTTTTTAACTTAAACTGGTTGAGAGAGGTACAGTCTTTAACATGGTTGGGAAGGTCATTCCACATTCTGGGCCCCTTGATTTGTAGAGCATTTCTGGTTTGATTAAGTCGTACTCTAGGAATATCAAAACTGTATTTATTTCTGGTGTGGTGCTCATGGGTTCTGTTACAACCTTCTATGAAGCTTTTGAGATCAGGATTGGCATTATAGTTTAGCGTTTTATATATGTATAATACACATGAGAGAATGTGCAGTGACTTAATGTCTAACATATTCAGAGATTTGAGTAGGGGTACCGAGTGATGTCTGGGAGCCAGAATTGGATATTGTCCTAATAGCAGCTTTGTGTTGAGTAATTAGAGGACGTAAGTGATTTTGGGTAGTAGAGCCCCAAGCACAAATACCATAGTTGAGATATGGATAGATAAGGGAGTAATAGAGAGTCACCAGGGCAGGGCGAGGTACATAATATCTGATCTTAGAAAGAATGCCCACAGTTTTTGAAACTTTTTTTTGATATGTTTAGAATGTGTCCCTGGAAATTCAACTTGTGGTCAATGAGAATGCCAAGGAATTTGCCATCTAATTTGTTACAAATTTTGGTATTGTTTATTTTGAGACTTATTTGGTTAGAGGATTTATTGCCAAACAGAATATAGAAAGTTTTGTCAATGTTAAGGGTGAGTTTGTTGGCAGTTAGCCACAGATGGACTTTATTTAGCTCAGTATTTACTGTGGCATTTAGAGCAAGGGGATCAGGACTGGAGTAAATGAAGGTTGTGTCGTCAGCAAATAGAATTGGTTTGAGGTGTTGGGAGGCATTTGGAAGGTCATTAATGTAGATGAGAAAGAGGAGAGGGCCAAGTATGCTGCCCTGGGGAACACCAATGTTGATGGGTAGGGTGGGAGAAATTGTATTATTCACAGAAACACATTGGAGCCTGTCAGTAAGGTAGGATTTGAGGTATTGTAGGGAGTGTCCTCTGACACCATAATGATGTAATTTAAGAAGAAGGTTTTGGTGGTTGACAGTATCGAAAGCTTTACGCAGGTCCACAAATAACCCAACAGGGAACTCATTTTTATCAAGAGCTGTATGAATCGAGTTAAGCATACTAATAAGTGCATCGTTAGTGTTTTTTTTGGGCCTGAAGCCATATTGGCAAGGGCTAAGTATATTGAGTTTGGCTAGATATGAGTAAAGCTGCTTATAGATTAGTTTTTCAACAATTTTTGACAAGTTTGGCAGGATTGATATAGGTCTGTAGTTGTTAACATCTGTGAGATCACCACATTTGTGGACAGGCGTTACTCTCGCTTTTTTTAGAATATCTGGAAAGGTTTGGAGTTCAAGTGACTTGTTGAAGAGCAAAGCAATAGCAGGGGCTAAAGATCTGGAGGCTTTTTTGTAGATTAAAGTTGGTATCTCCTCAAGGGCACCAGACTTGGTTTTAAGGGAAAGGATTATCTCATTGACGTCAGTGGAATTAGTAGGCATTAGGTACAGAGACTGGGGATAGTTCCCTGTAAGATAGTCCTTAATGTCAGTACTGGAAGATGGAATATCATTAGCAAGGGATGAACCAATGGAAGAGAAGAACCTATTGAACTCAATAGCAGAATCAGAGGCTGAAAGCTGACCATCGTTATTAGACAGGAGAGTTGGTTTGTTATTTAAAGACTTCTTTGATCCCAATATTTGTGAAATTGTTCTCCAAGTTTGTTTAATGTTGCTCTTTATTTGGGTAAATTTATCTTCGTAGTATTTAGTTTTGGCTCGTCTAATTATCTTAGATAGCAATAATGAGTAATTCTTTGAGAATTCTTTGGAGACAATTCCTAACCTATAATCTTCTTTTGCCGCCCTACCTTGCAAACTACTTTAACTACAGAACCAATTATGAAGCCTCACTGGACATCTGCTTTGGCTCTGCACACTTTCAACATGAACTACAGTTTCATACTGGACCAGATATTGGTAGTGACCACAAACCCCTCATAATAATATTTACTAACTTTCAGCCACCAACCCACCCGCTTACGCTTCCCAAGTGGAACATTAAGTACCTAGACAAGAAAAAATGGGCTGATATTGTCCGCCTGATATTGTCCACAGACGAAGTAGACCCTAACAAGCGCCTGTCCACAATCACCTCGGCCATAAATTCTGCAGCCACCCAAATGCTTAAGAAAACTTCAGGACATAGGTCCAACAAACCACTTAAACCGTGGTGGAACGCGGAATGTGCACGAACAGTCGCTTTACGCCGACGAGCCATTCAAAAACAAAGACGTCAACCCTCCCTACAGAACTGGGTCAATCTCCGGCGGGCTACAGCAGCGGCCAAAAAAACCATACTATCAGCAAAACGAGCATCATGGGCAACATTCTGTGATAGCCTCACACCCACAACGGCACATTCAAAAGTCTGGGCTACATTTAACAGCATTAAAGGTCGCCCAACATTCCCTTCGTTCCCCCTGATGATCAACGGTTCACTGTCAAACACCTCAGGAGCGTGCAAATGTTCTCGCTGAATGCCTTAAAGTTACCCTCTCAACACCCTTCCTTCATGCCCAAGAACTCTCCCTCAGACAAGAAATTGACCGTGCCATACCGCTGCTCATGCTCGGCGTCGACAACATGTACACCTTAAGCGAGCTACGATTGGCCTTAAACCGCCTACCTCTTGGCAAGGCACCTGGAGAGGATGGAATTCCATATGAACTCATCAAATATCTTCCACCCTTCCTTCCATCAAATATTTAGAAGAGTGCACACAGCACTCTTCTAAACTATTACAATCTATGCTGGACTCACGGAAATATTCCTTCACAATGGCAGACCAGTATTATTCTTCCGTTCCTTAAACCAGGAAAAGACCCATCCCAACCTGCGTCATACAGACCTATCTCCCTACTATCATGCCTCAGTAAAGTCTAGTATTTCTAGTACTAGAAAGGCTAGTACACATGCACTCGCCTCCAATGGTACCTAGAGTATAACAATATTATACCGTCACTCCAAGCTGGATTTCGACCGCAATGCTCCACGCTAGATCAAATACTCTGCCTTGAACATGAAAGCCGCACCTCTCTCAGAAGCAGTAAATATTGTCTTGTTGTCTACCTAGACCTCAAAGGAGCTTTTGATAGCATTCCTCATACTTGCCTCCTCGCAAAGCTTGTACGTTTAGGCGTACAGGGAAGATTACTTTTATGGTTACAGTCCTATCTCACAAACAGGACCTCCAAAGTCTTTATACAAGGCGAGTTTTCCGATGGCATCCCAATACAAACAGGTGTTCCACAAGGCTCCATACTAAGCCCAACCCTATTTGCCGCATTCTTAACAGATTTGCCTAACACCCATCCTGTTCACCTCTCGGCGTACGCCGACGACTTAACATTGTATTATTCAGACAATGCCCTACCAAATACAGTCTCTACAATGCAAACAGCACTGGACCACCTCATAGATTGGACACAACAATGGGGCCTTCAAGTCAGTACTACCAAAACCTGCTATCAGATTTTCACTAAAAAAAGACTACTTCATCTACCCACCCTCACAATACACAACACTCCCATCCAACACGTACGAGAACATAAATATCTTGGCATGCGCTTAGACTTCCCCTTACTTACCTGGAAAGCACACATTCAACACCTTAAACAGACGACACAACCCCGAGTCGCCATACTTAAAGCCCTCACTGGCACCACCTGGGGAGCACACCATAAAATCTTGCTCCGTTTCTATACAACCTACATTCGCAGCCAACTAGACTATTGTTGCCAAGCATATGCGTCGGCGGCGCCCACTAACCTACAGAGCCTCGAGGTCATACAAAATAATGTCATGCGACTTATATGTGGCGCAATGCGTTCAACTCCAATCCTCGGACTTTACGGGGAAACAGGCCTCACAAGCCTAGCCACCAGACGAGACATTATGTGTGCCAACTATCTGTCACTCTGTACCACTGCTCACCAGACACACCTATACAGATCAAAAATTAACCCAACAGTTAACCCATATAACCCCCGCTCCCCAACCATTCACTCGCAACCTTTCCTCACACGGGCTACAAATAACCTCAATTTAGACCTCTCCCTACTTCAAAACTGTGAAACCCAACTTCCTGTTCCCCCCATTCCACCTTGGCTTTATACAACTCCTAATACAGCAATACAACTCGAAGACAACATTCCAAAATCTGCACCAAACTCAGCCATAGCCTCAGTCTTTGTCTCAACAATGAAAAATTGCTACCCAAATACCACAGAGATTTACACAGATGGCTCTCGCATCTTCATGAACAACGTACCCTCGGTCACTTGCGCTGTATGGATACCGGAATACCATCTCAAGCAGGGATGGCGGTTACCAAACCAACTATCTATTTTCACAGCGGAATTATATGCCTTGTATCAAGCTCTCCAAATCATCACAACATTACCAGTTGGGATATATACAATCTGTAGTGACTCCAAGAGCGCGATTCAAGCAATTTCGTACTCTTCGAAAACATGCAAAGAGATTGTCTACCCATGCCTTCAACTTCTTCACAAACATTAATTGAACGGTTATAACACCTCTATCCAATGGGTCCCAGCACATTGTGGTATTCTCCATAATGAACTTGTAGACCAACTAGCCAAAGCGATGCACGACACGCCTCACCTCACCCGTCATCCAATTCCCCATGTTGCACGTAAAGGAGCCTTCAAAGATACCATCTCCCAGGATTTTGCAACAAACTGGAAAACGTTATGCTCACCTTTGCACTATGGGTCCATTAAAAAGAAATGGGAAACTTGGAAACATGTCCGATATAAAAGCAGAGAAATTGATGTAACGATGACCAGATTAAGGCTGGGACACACCAAACTAGCAGCACACAGCTCTAAGAACATAAGAACATAAGAACAAAGGTAACTGCAGAAGGCCTATTGGCCCATACGAGGCAGCTCCTATTCTATAACCACCCAATCCCACTCATATACTTGTCCAACCCGTGCTTGAAACAATCGAGGGACCCCACCTCCACAATGTTACGCGGCAATTGGTTCCACAAATCAACAACCCTGTTACTGAACCAGTATTTACCCAAGTCTTTCCTAAATCTAAACTTATCCAATTTATATCCATTGTTTCGTGTTCTGTCCTGTGTTGATACTTTTAATACCCTATTAATATCCCCCCGGTTATGTCCATTCATCCACTTGTAAACCTCTATCATGTCACCCCTAACTCTTCGCCTTTCCAGTGAATGCAACTTAAGCTTTGTTAATCTTTCTTCATATGAAAGATTTCTAATTTGGGGAATTAACTTAGTCATCCTACGCTGGACACGTTCAAGTGAATTTATATCCATTCTATAATATGGCGACCAAAACTGAACTGCATAATCTAAATGGGGCCTAACTAGAGCAAGATATAGCTTGAGAACCACACCAGGTGTCTTGTTACTAACGCTGCGATTAATAAATCCAAGTGTCCGATTTGCCTTATTACGAACATTTATGCATTGATCCTTTTGTTTTAAATTCTTACTAATCATAACTCCCAGATCCCTTTCGCAATCCGACTTCGCAATCACAACACCATCTAGCTCGTATCTTGTAACTCTATCATCATTACCTAACCTCAGAACTTTACATTTATCAGCATTAAACTGCATCTGCCAATCCTTTGACCATTTCAAAACCCTATCTAGATCAACTTGAAGTGATAGTGAGTCCTCCTCCGAATTAATTTCCCTACCGATTTTCGTATCATCGGCAAATTTGCAAATGTTGCTACTCAAACCTGAATCTAAATCATTTATATATATTATAAACAACAGAGGTCCCAGGACAGAGCCTTGAGGCACTCCACTTACAACATTTTCCCACTCTGACTTGATTCCATTTATACTAACTCTCTGTTTCCTTTGGTATAGCCATGCCCTAATCCAGCTTAATATAGCACCCCCAATACCATGAGACTCTATTTTTTTAATCAGTCTTTCATGTGGCACTGTATCAAAAGCTTTGCTAAAGTCAAGGTATACAACATCGCAATCCTTACCACTATCAACTGCCTCAACAATGCTAGAATAAAAAGATAACAAATTTGTTAAACATGAACGGCCATTTATAAAACCATGTTGCGACTCAATTATTAATTTATGTTTTTCAAGATGAAGACGAATTTTATTTGCTATTATAGATTCGAGTAACTTTCCCACAATAGACGTTAGGCTAATTGGTCGATAGTTAGACGCAAGTGATCTATCTCCTTTCTTAAAAACTGGTATCACATTAGCAACTTTCCAAAACTCTGGCACTCTGCCTGACTCTATTGATTTATTAAATACAGAATAATTTATTATTATAGATTTATTAAGTACAGAACAGACATCAACGAACTCTGTACTCACTGTCAGGTGCCTGAAACAGTCGAACACTATCTCCTGCACTGCTTCCGACATTATAGTGCCAGAGTAAATTTCAAACAAGTCTTTATCGCACTTAAAATACCCTTCACCATCGAGCATATATTAGGAGGCGGTGACCACTCGTTACAAGAAAAATACCAAATAGTCAAAGCACTGGCTAAATATCTCCAATCGACCAACAAATTGGGTCTTCTTCTTCTTCTTGTTGATAGTAGGTGCAGTTTGCATGAAGGGTTTGTCCTCCCGATGAAATTGGGTCACATCTGACTCGCGCCACATTTATACCTGGCGCCACCAACAGCTAAACACGGAAAACAACTGCCTCGTCGCAGCACCAAGGATCAGCTGACGCCATAAACACAACACACCGCCCTACGGTCCGGCAAGTCTCCCTCTAACACACACCTCTGTTTTAATCACCGTTCCTCTATCTACAGCACAAAGCAACAAGCACCTTGGTAGCTCCGATCATCTTCAACATAAACGCGTCCAACAACATCAGTACTGGTGCAGTCATCGGGAGGACAAACCCTTCATGCAAACTGCTCCTACTATCAACAAGAAGAAGGGATTACTGGATTGTTTCAGTTGTAGGTTAGACACGTCTATTAATTTGGGTGGATATTAATAGCTGTCTCATATGGAGCAGTAGGCCTTCTGCAGTTTCTTTATTTTCATGTTCTGTTTGCTAGAGCTGAAGTCTACCCAACTAAACTTTTACATCACTGGCTATTTTAAACAGTTTTTCTGTTTGAAGCCAAATTTGTTTTTTTTCTCTCCAGGTTTTAATATTTTAGTCTTGATGATTGACTCAGCAGTTAAGCCCACACTTGTCCTTGCTTCTAACCTACAAGCATACATCAATCTGCAAATGGGGTCAAGGATTAGAGCAAACTCTCAGTACAGTATACTGTATATTTATATATAGTGCATTAAAGAGGGTCCTCTTTAACATTTATATGTAGATCTCATTTCTGTTTCACCATTACCTCTTGGCCAAAAATTTTGGGATGCAAAGGAGAGATGTTAAAAGATATCCACATATCAGCTATTCTTATGCTGATATTTAGGTACAGAACTCTAATTAAGTACTTGATGATTTTATTTACAGGACAAGAGAGATGATGATGGCCATGCGAGGTCCTCTGCAACTGACAGTTGCACTTATTAAGCCTGATGTTACTCGAGTGCCTCACATCTTGCAAGTGAGTCAGTATGATAGATTAATTAAGCAATAGACAGTGATGGTCAAGATATTGAGGCTGGTAACAATAGTAGTAAGTGTATTGAATGTCATCACTTAATTTTGGCACCTAAAATATATTTCCCAGTCATAATGTTTAAGCTTTGTATTGCACTTGTGATTGAGATGTTATATACCTAGTAGACCCTTTTATATATATATACTGTAATGGATTTTTATGCAGTACGTTTTTACCACAATGTAACATTTATTTTGTGACGAGTGATTTATATTACGGGCACCTTATTACAAAACATTCATGGCATGCTCCCCATATCACTTCAGCATAGACAATCATGCTTTGACTTCCCCTTTACATATTCCACCACTCGCAACCCCTCACACTCCACTATCTCTCCCATGCCTTTGTCTATTCTATCACCTTCTAAAACTTACAAACCCTATGTATTTTTTTTTATAAATAATGTAAAATGTTGGTAGTGGATATGTTGGCCGATATTATTGTAGTTTTAACTACACCTCATCCATCACTGTCAATTTCTATTTTCCATAACCGTGCCAAGGGAAGGCAAGATCGAAGTGAGACATGCAATATCTTGTCAAAATGTTTGACACACTACCACCCACTTATCAACACATTTCCACCCACCTACCAACACAGTACCACGCACCTACCAACACAGTACCACACAGTACAGTAGGTGAGTACAGCTAGGTGAGTACACTATCCCCCATCCATCCACCAACACACACACTACCATCCATCCACCCACGAACACACTACCCCCCCCATCCACCCACCAACACACTATCCCCCCCATCCACCCATCAACACACTACCACCCATCTCCATCCCAAGCTATGGCATAATCTCAAAACTCTCAAAATCTACTCTCTAGAAAGGAGACAAGAAAGATATCAACTAATGTATGTGGGGAAATACTCAAGAGCCAGGTCTCAAAGTTGCACACTAAAACAACTGGAGTGAACTATATGGAAGGAAATGCAGAATAGAGCCAGTGAAGAATAGAGGTGCCATAGGCACAATCAGAGAACACTATATGAACATCAGAGGACCATCACTGGACCACCATGTCCAGGTTCACAAAGTGGTTTTTGAACAGTTATTGACTCATTTCCCTGGTTCTTCAGGATGCCTGGTGGGACCTCTCGTATCACTTTTGGGCACTTCTGTTTGGTCTGAAACTGGTTCCCAGACTCGGAAGCCGGGTGTGCTTTCCATGACCTTATGGGTCCAATGCTGTATGCTACTGTGAGAGTTTTATTTATTAGTTTATTTTTGTGTTATTTATATATACAAGAGTTCTTAAATTCTTTAAAAGCCACTAGCATGCATAGTGTTTCGGGCAGGTCCTTAATCTTGATTTTTCTCTGAAATACGACCCGCCAAATCATGTAACAACCAGGTACCCATTCACTGCTGGTTGAACAGAGGCATACAGTTAAGAATTGGTGCCTAGTCTTTACTCCCTGGCTAGGATTTGAACCCAGGCCAAATTGCTCGCGAAGTGTAAAGAGATGCTAAGGCAACATCTAGAAAGGGACATTTCACTTATATTCAAGACAGTTTTTATCAGTGTACAATTTTTGTAAAGGCTATGAATGAAGAAATTAGAAATACTGTGTACTCTGTATATACAATATAGACTTTAGTCTTTGAAATTCCCTGCATATGATAAATAGGATAGATTTAAAGTATGATAGAAGGTTGAGATTGAAGAATGGTTATAAAGTAGATTATTATAAATTTTAAGTTGCCTGTTCTTAAAAAAGATACATCTTCAGGGCATACGCAACAGGATAATACAAGAGGAGTTCCTGGTTGTGCGGCATAAGGAGATCCGGTTGCGTAAACAAGAAACTGAAAATTTTTATGCAGAGCATCGAGAAAAGTTTTTCTACAATAGACTTGTAACTTTTATGGCAAGGTAAGTACTATACATCTGCGAGTTGGATGGCAGGTTCTTGCTCTGGTCTCCGGTAGGTCAAACAGAACTACTGTATGTGACTGATGTATCCTAGCACTTGGGAAGAATCTCATTGAGATAGCTACCTTACCTTGAGGTGCTTCCGGGGCTTAGCGTCCCCGCGGCCCGGTCGTCGACCAGGCCTCCAGGCCTAGCTGCAGGGAGCCACTGTGGCTCAGCCTGAAAGAGCCATTTATTTACATTCAGTGCTGGTTTTTTGGCCTTAAAAAGCTACTTTGAAGCTTTACCAGTATGTTTAGGGGTCATAACATTATTTCATTATTAATGCAATTAGCAGGTGATTATTTATTGTTTATTGAAGAACACTGAATATCATTTGCTGTGGAATGGAAAATATAAATTTCACCGATATCTTTGAGACATTTTTATTTGACCTGTTATCTGACAAATTTATTTTGCAGTGGCCCCACCCAGGCTCTTATATTAGCCCATGAAAATGCCATCCAACGATGGAGATTGCTTATGGGACCTACTAAAGTATACAAGACTAAGTATGAAGCACCAGATACCATTAGGGGCATGTATGGCCTCACTGATACCCGTAACTCGACCCATGGCTCCGGTAAGCTGTAAATCATTAGATAAAAGGCCTTGTATTGTTTTCTTTACACATTAAAACAAAACACCTTGTGCTCTTGTAGGTTTACAGTATCCAGTATATTATTATATATTTGTCTCAGTAAAGCTTATAGTAAAATGATCTATATTGTCCAAGTTCCTTGTGTAGCAGTGTATAATATGTTATGGATTGTGTGAGTATGGAGCTTGTAGCACAATTATCATTGTATAGAGTTCACATCTGTCTCAAAGCTTGAATATATGACCTCTTATTCTTGAAGCTACAGTTTTTAAGAATTATTCTTTGTCAATCTTGTCGATTCATATTACTATTTTGTATGTAGTGACCTTATCACCTCTCTTTCTTCTATCTTCTAGATAGAAGATATTAGTATATTAAACACACCTAGCTTCTCCTCATGGCTCTTGTCTGTTAGTTTTGGAAGCCATTTACTTGCATGTCTTTGCACTTTTTCTAGTTTAGTGATATACTTCTTGAGATATGGATACCATACAACCACTGCATATTTTAATTTTGGTCTCATGAAGTTCGTGAACAAATTTTTAAATATTTCGCCAGCCATATACAGTGGGGCCTTCACTTACGATGGTAATCCGTTCCCAGAGACGTATCGTAAGTCGAAACAAATTTTCCCATAAGAAATAATGGGAATTTAATTAATTCGTTCCACACTCCCAAAAAAATTAACTTCAAAGTAAATTTTATACCTAATTCACTCAAATCTTTAGTACTAAAGTACTGCATGTACAAGTTATTACTTACCTTTATTGATGACTCTTGTTGGCGTATGGAAGACTGTGAGGAGGAGGAGAGGTGTTAGTGTTTGGAAGGAGAGTCCCCTTCCATTATAACATCAAGCAGTGATTGTTTTTCTTTTTTCAAATTTGTTCAATTTCTTTTTTATTTTTTTTATTTTTATAGAAAATGGAGCAGCCTACCTGACATCCACTGAACAAACCTTTTAGACATTTTTCTTTTTTCAAATTTTTTCAGTTTTTGTCTGTAGTGATGCATCGCAGTGTCATTGAAAATGTTAAGGCAACGGCCTACTCCTGCTTGATTTGGGCGAGTCGTTTCAGCAAAAGTTTGCAGTTCTTCCCATGCTGCATACATTTTCATAATAAATGAAGAAGGGATATCTCTACATCAACACATGTGTTTTCTTAGGTTGAACCTTACCACTGACTTTCTTGGGACCCATGGCATGATATATAATAATTACTTTTATGTTCAAAAAACAAAAAATCTCCAATGGAATTTCTTACAAGTGTGATCGTCGCTAAGCAGGCGGCTCTGGTAAACTGAGGCAGGTCTGCCAGCATGACCAGGAACCATGTGCTTGGTCGACCCGAACACGTATCGACAAATATCGTTAGTCGCTGACACTGTCGTAAGTCGAGTCGCATTTTCTGATCAAATTTATATCGTAACTCGAAATTATCATGAGTCGGGGCAATAGTAAATCGAGGTGTCACTGTACTAGTATTTAAAAACAATTCTGAAGTTGGAAAGCGTAGCAAAGGCTCCTTGCAAAATGTTATTTATGTAATACTCGGGTGACAATTTTCTATCCAAAACACCCCTAGATATCTTTATCAGAATTCTTTAAAGCTTTTTCACATAATTTATTTGTTGTGTATGACCTATTCTTTCCTAGTCCACATTCAATAACATGTGATTACTCTGTGTAATAAATGACATAGCATGATGTATCAATGAGAAAATCCATAAGAGCTGTGAAGAAGATTTAAACCTATGCGGTAGGTAGTCCCATGCGCACACCCCAGACAACCAGGCCACGATATGGTCAAATGACCAGGATTGTGTGAATAGCATGGTCCGGCTTCAGTGGTAGCCTTGAGAAACCCTTGTGTGTTCAGTAGAATTCCAGGTTGCAATTCTTTTGACTGCATCGACTGTTTTTCTTAACAGGGTTTTTGCATATAAAATATTTATTTTGAAATTACTTTGTTAACAGTGTTAACATGTTATGTTGACTAAATAAATTGCTAACTGAAGCTTAGCTGTACATATTTTAGGCAGTACTGTATTGAGGCATTATGCATATTTGGTTAGGTCAGGTTGTTAAATTAGTTTTGATTCAAATTTAAAAACAAAAAATCTTGTTCATTATTTGTCATCTTTATCTTATGGTCGATACTTATCCATTCACCATAGACTTCTGCACTACATAGCATCACTATGTGTCGGCAGCACCACCACTCTCTATAATAGGTATATTATCTTTATGCTCTGTAATGATTTAAAAGTTTAATTTCAATATTTGTATTGACAGATGCAGAGGAAACTGCAGCAAAAGAGATGAAGTTTTTCTTTCCAGAGTTCTCCAAGGAAGAATGGTATGAAGACGAGGAAGCACAGTTTCGTAAAGGACAAATACAATTAGATGAAGTCAGTTTTATTCATAAATTATTATGAGTTTTTTTATTTTTTAAATCATACTTCGACTATCCTATAATTTATACATAAATCAGCATGAAAAGCAAATTCATTATGAATTACATTTTGTACAAATTAGTTCTTCACATATTTCTGCTCCTCGGTTGTCTAAACAAAGAAAGGAAGTTTGTTAGTTTCGATAGTTTGTGAACATTTCAAAGAGACGTTAACTCCATTTTAAAGTTAAAATCCAATGTAGATCCCCAGAACAATGCAGAGTTCACAGTACACTGATTTTAGATAGTATTGTCTGGTTTTTGTGCCCATGATGCTATGGACATAATGGCTCCATATGGAAGAGGTGGAGTTTACATAGATCCATGACAAAAATTCTGCCATTTCATTATTGCTTACTATGCAAATACAGTTATCTTCACAAATGTTACCATGCCACTGTGGCAATATTATAATTACTGTATGTGATTTGTTTACTGATTTATGTTCATATGATTTTTACAACTCTGTGGTTATAATGAAGTATACCATGTCAATCACCATTTGTATTATCATGTCTATTAGGGGGACTGCTATCATGACTGTTGCAACTGTTTGGGTTACTGAGGACATCCAGTGAGGCCCTCCACTCACATTGTCGTCCTCCAAGTGACAACATTTCCACATTACATTCTTACACCCTCACCCACTCCCAACAATGTTGTATATGTCCCCCCTCTCATGTGTTTAAAATATATGTAATGTATGCATCTCAATAATTTGTTTCAATCATTAATTCCAAACTAATTGTGCAAGTTTAATGTTAATACAGTACCTGTATATTCATTTGAATCCCCTCTTGTATTTTAATATGGTGGAGCCTCAATTTGGCAAATCTCCAGTTGAAACGCAAATTTTCCAGGCTGGATTTACCCAGCCAATTACACGAACAAGAGTTTGCTGATGAGGGGGATGTGCAGATCTGCTTAGGACATTGGGACAGAGTTCACAGACTGCTGTAAACGTTGTGAATCATATCATAGGTTAAAATGAAAGATTCCATAGTGAAATCAGTGCATAGAGCATGAGAAATATGAGGGTTTAAATAGTAACTCTTAATAAGGCTTCAATCATTTTTTTAATGATTTTTATAGATGGACATAAGATTAGAAGAAAGAGTTGGGGGATCTTGGGAAACTTATTGAGCATATTTAAAACAAAATTCTATGGGTCTTTTTTATTTCTAGGTGGAGAGTATTTGTTTAGTGAAAATTTGAGCCGTTCTTCCTTTTGAAAATGAAATTTCAAGGCTAAGGTATTGGAAATAGGCTAGATGTGGTTAAATCTCTACAGACAGGTTCTCTTGGTAGTTGTCCTTCATATGACAGTTTGAAATTAAAATTTTGCTTAGTGAAATCAGCCCATAGACCATGAGAACTATTAGAGTATAAATGTACCTGTTAATATAGTTCCAATCACAATTTGAATTATTTTTGTTGATGGACACATTAGAAGAAACATTTGGCCCCTTGGGAAAGTCATTGAGCATACTTAAAACTATATTCTATGGTTCAGTTTCATTTTGAGATTTCCCGGTTTTCGTTTACCAATGTGGTCCTCTGGGGCATCTTCCATTGCAATGAATTGCTACTTCTTCGCTACAATGAATTGGGGTTGGTCACATATGGTTCATTGAATCGAGGTTGTTACACTGTTAAAATTGCTATTTTACTTTTAGTGTTCCCTAACTATAAATTATATAAATAACTATGATCCTCTCCCTTACATTTTGAGCCTGAATACATTATCCTTAATCATGTACTCAAGACATGTTTTTGTAAATGATGTATACATGACTACTTACTGCAATGTAAGTAAACACTGAATTTGGTATTGACAGATGCTGGCCGACCCAGCCACCCACCAAATTTATATGGCTCATTTAACCTGTAAAGATATGTACTGGTTTGGCAGTATTTACATTACCTTCTCATTTCCTTACATTTTGCATCCAAAATTATTATTCTATAGAGAAATGATATTTGAATTTTTGTATTTTTTGCAGAAGGGCAGACTGGTGTGTATATTGATAGCCACACCTTAGGGTCTTTTTTTAATGCCCCTAAGGTAATACAGTAGTAGTATCTACTCTCTTTTAATTAGAGATGGTTTCAGGTTTATGTACCGACAATGAATGCTCGGTGCTGTCTTAACATATGGGCAGTTGCCCAGGGCTTCCATGATTCTAAGGGTCTGCATCCTGCTATGTTGTTCATGAGAGATCTCTTGGCAGAGTGGATAATTACTCAACCCCACTGGAAACACCAGAGATTCAAATCTCTGGTGTTTATAATATAATTTTTTTTATAATATAAATTATGTTTATAATATAAATGCTTTGTGCTTATGTATCTGGCACTAATGCTGTATTTTAGCAGATGGGCAGGGCCCTTCATCTGGGGTAGGTGCCCTAGTGCATTGTTTTGCCTAGGGCTCCCCCCTCCATGGTGTCACCTTGTCATGGTTAGGGGCTCACATACAACTCCCTGGGAGCTGGTTGATACCTGGTTGATGGGGTTCTGGGAGTTGTTTTTCTATTAAAGCCCAGCCCAAGGCCAGGCTTGACTTGTGAGAGTTTGGTCCACTAGGCTGTTGCTTGGAGCGGCCCGCAGGCCCACATATCCACCATGGCCCGGTTGGTCCGGCACTACTTGGAGGAAAAATCTAGTTTCCTCTTGAAGATGTCCACGGTTGTTCCGGCAATATTTCTTATGCTTGCTGGGAGGGTGTTAAACAACCGCGGACCTCTGATGTTTATAGTGTTCTCTGATTGTGCCTATGGCACCCCTGCTCTTCACTGGTTCTATTCTGCATTTTCTTCCATATCGTTCACTCCAGTACGTTGTTATTTTACTGTGTAGATTTGGTACTTGGCCCTCCAGTATCTTCCACGTGTACATTATTTGATATCTCTCTCGTCTTCTTTCTAGTGAGTACATTTGGAGAGCTTAGAGATGATCCCAATAATTTAGGTGCTTTATCACGTCTATGCGTGCTGTATATGTTCTCTGTATTCCCTCTATTTCAGCAATCTCTCCTGCTCTGAAGGGGCAAGTGAGTACTGAGCACTCAAGATGGGACAACACAAGTGACTTGAAGAGCACAACCATTATGATGGGATCCCTGGATTTGAAAGTTCTCATAATCCATCCGATCATTTTTCTGGCTGACGCAATATTTGCTTGGTTATGCTCCCTAAACGTTAAGTCGTCAGACATCATTATTCCCAAATCCTTTACATGTTGTTTTCCTACTATGGGCACATTTGATTGTTTTGTACCCTGTATTATGTTAAGGTCCTCATTTTTACCATACCTCAGTACCTGGAAGTTATCACTGTTAAACAACATGTTATTTTCTGTTGCCCAGTCGAAAACTTTATTAATATCTGCTTGAAGTTTTTCAATGTCTTCAGCCGAGGTAATTTTCATGCTGATTTTTGTGTCGTCTGCAAAGGATGATACGAAGCTGTGACTTGTATTTTTGTCTATATCTGATATGAGAATAAGGAAAAGCAGTAGTGCAAGGACTGTACCCTGAGGTACAGAGCTTTTAACTGCACTTGGACTCGATTTTATATGATTGACTGTTACTCATCGAGTCCTGTTTGACAGAAAACTGAGTATCCAGTGTCCTACTTTACCGGTATTCCCATTGACCTCATTTTGTGTGCTATCACTCCATGGTCACATTTATCGAAAGCCTTTGCAAAGTCCGTGTATTCCACATCAGCATTGTTTTTCTTCTAATGCCTCGGTGACCTTGTGGTAGTGATCAAGTAGCTGTGAGAGGCACGATCTTCCCGCTTGAAATCTACGTTGGCCTGGGTTGTGAAGGTCATTGGTCTCTGTGAAATTGGTGGCCTGACTCCTAATCACTCTCTCAAATACTTTTATTATGTGGGACATTAGTGCAACTAGTCTATAATTCTTTGCCAATGCTTTGCTCCCTCCCTTGTGTAGAGGGGCTACGTCTGCTACTTTAAGTGCATCTGGTATCTCCCCCGTGTCCAAGCTCTTCCTCCACACTATACTGAATGCCTGTGCTACTGGCACTTTGCATTTCTTTATAAATATTGAATTCCATGAATCTGGACCCAGAGCCGAGTGCATGGGCATGTTTTCAATTTCTCTTTCAAAGTCTAGTACGCTCGTGTTTATGTCAGTTATATTTACAGGGGTTTGGATATCCTGCATAAAGAAATTGTCTGGATCTTCCACTTTCATGTTGTTTATTGGAGTGCTAAACTTGTCCTCATATTGAACAAATCCACAAGGGCCTTGACGAGGATTCGAACCTGCGTCTGGGAGCATCCCAGACACTGCCTTAATCGACTGAGCTACGACATGGTATGTTTAGCGCGCACTGATTATTCCACACATTTGCTGGTGCTACATAGTCTTCCTGGCTTGGTTCCTTCTTTTTTATAATTAATTACTTGCCCAGGGTCTACAATGCTGTTAAGACATCTCTGGATTTTATCTTTTACATGCATCTTGCTTTTAATGAATTTATAGAAAGGCCTGAATCTGTTTTACATTTGTCCGTTACATCTTTCTCAAAGTTCCTTTCTACCTCTCTTCTTACTGCTGTGTAAGAAGAGAGGTAGAGAAAAAATACCAGCATTACAAACTTCTTGCTTGTTTGTAATGCTGGTATGTTTGCGGGTTAGGCCTCTTCAGATATTGAACCCATTTTCTTGTTTTTTCTACTCTGTCCCTCTTACAATTTGTTGAACAAATCCTGTTTTCTGGTCCTGCATATCTCTTTTTGGTGTGAATGTTTGTCCCCCTTCATCGTATATTTTGCAAAATTTGGCATGCATCTCATTTACTTCCTTGCCAAACATGTCTGTCCAATTAAACTGATTAATGAATTTTCTAAGTTCCCCATAGTGTCCTCTCTTGAAATCAAGTTAATCAACTGTTATACTGTCCCCAGTCTCTTCTAGATTATATCTCGGAGCATATTTAATTTCCAACAGGATATGATCACTCTTTCCCAAGGAAGGAAGGAAGAAAGGTACTGGATATCAAATATTTGTTGGTCTTTCCTGATGAATATTAGATCCAATATTGATGGTACATCCCCTTCTTTCATTCTTGTAGCCTGCTTCATGTGTTGATACGTGAATGTCTCCAGAATGAGGTTAACAAATCTGCCTGTCCAAATGTCCTCCGTTCTTGCTTCGTAGGCCTCTGTCTATTGCTTTATAATTGAAGTCCCCTAGTACCAACAATCAAAACATATCTGTCTGCCCTTACTTCAGTATCTCTCATGACCATTATGAGGCCCTCTCATTTGTCATCCAGTTCCTCCTTTGTCCATGTGTTGCTTACTGGTGGGCTGTAAGCATTTGTGATTATCAGTTTATCCTGATTCCAGACCTGCACTGCCAATATGTCAATTTCGAGGGTTTTCGATTATTAACACTCTTACCTTCAGGTGTTCTTTCACCAGCACAGCCACTCCTCCCCCTTCCTAGTTTTCCTGCCACATCTCCAAACCGAGTAGTCCCTTGGAAATACGACCTCATTTAAAATGTTTTCTTCGTTTTGTCTCTCAGTGCAACAATATCTGGGACCTTAGGCTAAATTACATCTCTTTAGCTCAAGTATATTCAGAAACATGTTCCCTTTGTCCTTTACTTCCCCTTCCTCTAATGATTTTGTTGCTTTGTTTTTATGTACAATTTCACTAGCTTTTCAGTCCCTAACACTTTTTCTATAAAGTGTTTTCAGCTTTTCTGTCTACCTTTAAGCGGTCTTGTCTTATTGACTAAAGTTTGCCAATCTTATCACTGCAATTTCCTGGCATTTCTAAACACTGTCATTTGTTTCACTCCATTAAATGTCATTCTTAAGAGGCAGTTCTTGTCTTTCCCATATTTTCCTATTCTCCTAAAATCACTGACATTTTCCTTTGAATTTTACACATACAGGTATTTGTACAAGCTTGGAGGCAATAGGATGCAGAAAACCAGTAACAGTAAATTTGTTTTTTTGTGCCACACAGTTGAAGTGCAGTAACACAGGAACTTGTAATATTCATAGTATTTTTTTTTTTTTTTGAGATATATACAAGAGTTGTTACATTCTTGTACAGACAGCCACTAGTACGCGTAGCGTTTCGGGCAGGTCCCTGGAATACGATCCCCTGCCGCGAAGAATAGTTTTTTCATCCAAGTACACATTTTACTGTTGAGTTAAACAGAGGCTACAGTTAAGGAATTGCGCCCAGTAAATCCTCCCCGGCCAGGATACGAACCCATGACATAGCGCTCGTGGAACGCCAGTAACATTTTTATTTTACAGGAGACACTGAAAAATCTATACAGAATGAATATTTTTTAAGTATAAAGTTTATTCACAAGACAGACTACAATTTAAGGCCTACAGTAAGTCATACAGTTAGAATTAATTTTTGGCACACATGTTTGGCTTCTGTTATTTGCTCCATCATGGATGCATTGTACAGTTATTTGATCCAAATTGTCAGTGTTTTTTGATGTTTTCAAAGAGACAATACTGTTCCATATCTATGAAAATACAATGCATTATTAATTATTATTATTATTAATTAAATATTACTAAGAGTTCTATGTGCAAAGGATTCTTAAGACAAAAGATGTAACAATCGCTATACACTGTAGTGAATTTAATAACTACAGTAACTGTAAATATAATGTGACAGTTGCTAATAATGGGTTATGTCCACCCAAGTTTGATAAATATGGTACTGTATTTAACTTTAGACTAAAATATACTTGGATATAATAATTTTTTAGTAGAACCAAGTACGTTGTGTCCCCAAGTAACCCATTATTGACAATAAATTGATAGTTTGATGTGGACAAAGACTAAATGTTTTTTATAATTCATGCCATTATCAAATAGGACAAAAAATACATGATGTAATTTATAGAATAGTAGTTTGAGACTACTGGCAATAGAACAAAATTCCCACACACACACAGGATGACAGAGTCAGTGTCCACAGCTAAATTATCTACATTCGTTTAAAACTCAACTACTAAAATGAACTGCATCTTTGGCAGTACTCTAATAAGAAGAAGGTAGACACAAGAATAAAGACTAAATTAACTACCTGTAGGATTACTGTATTATGTATTTCCTAATATGTCATGCATGTACTAACTGAATCTTTGATCAAAGTTAACAGTTTTGAGATAAAGAAATTAATATTTTGATAAATATTCCTACATACAATCTCATCCTCCTAGTAATCTCAGTGTTTTAGAGCAGTCAATGCTGCTGATTACCTTGTACTTTTACATTATAATTAATTCTGGCTAGGATTTTGCTGTCCATAACATGATTACATGTAGGAGACACTCGGGTAGACAGTGACACAACATTTACAAATCAGAGATGAAGACCAGTTAGATAACAAGTGCTTCTGTTTATAAAGTTATTCCATGGACTGTGTTTAAAAGTGATTCATTATGAGATTTTTGAGGACTTGACCGTCAGATTTCCTCCTGGTGAAAAAATAGTTTTGAGATGAAACAATGAATGAGAGGAGTGCTACCCTTGCCTTTAGTACACATTCCCTCAATTAGTCATACTTTCGGGAAAGTTACAAAAGTTTGCTAATGTACCACAATAGTGAGCTATAATTGTGACAGATTTTACCAGAACTCATCTGCTCAACCAGGAGCTGATGACCTCAATCTCTTCATACTCCTAATATGATGAATGCAGAAGAAGAAACTTTGCACAGTACCACTGCAGTGAACATGAAGTAAACATTGGTTATGAAAGAACTTCACTTGCTGGTGAAATCTAGTCTGAAATGTTGACTAACCAATAACATAACCATTAGCTTTTAAAAGTTTTCAAGCTACACGAACCAATATCAGGGCTAGATAGAAACATTTTTATGATAGGACTGACCCCATGTAAGGAAGAATTTGAGCGCAAGAAATTTATCATTTAGTGCAGATTGCAAATGTAGATTAAAATACATCAAGATGAAACTTAAATGTCTTTTAACTCTGGTATCATGGAGAATGTGATACTGTGTAAATGTCATATTATTGAAAAAAATGTGATTGCTATAATCTGAAATGGAGGCTAATGAGATTTGTTCAAGAATACTGAGAAGGTCCTACATATGCTAATGACTACAATAACCCTACCACAACAGATACACGGCAGTACAGAGACATGACAATGGGCCTTAATGGTAAAGAGAATTGTTCTTATTTAGAATGGGTGTTCTCTTTAGCTAATTATGTTTATTTTTAAGAAATTCTTGTTTGATTCTGCATATTGAATTACCTCCTCAGGAAGGACATGAATATTCATAGCAGTTGTTGTTCATCTCTATTCCCACCTGTCATGCCCATTTCATTAATATTCGCTTTTGATGATTTAGAGACCACAATCTTTATGAATAGCTTGACATCTGAACAAAAATTCCAGTTTACATTTGGCACATCAGGCAGAATGCCTTAACTAAGTGATCTGCTGTGTCTCAAATCATAGGAAGAACATTCAAGATATAACCCAACATACTGTACTCCATTTTGCTTATATTTTGATCCAGTCAAATGCCAGTGCCTTTGAACAGGGACATGCTGAAAAAATATCCATCTTTGGTGTCATAAGAAAAAATAATTACTATTGTGTATCTTACACTCCCATCTCTGCCTCATTCACATTTGAAAACCTTTGTGCTGATAAAGTTATAACAAGGGTACACACCACGAATCAACTAATATGCATGTTAAATTTTTTAATTATGTATTTTATTGTCTCATTAGGTGGCTACGATTGTTTATGGATCCAAAATATTTCCACAAAATTATCCAAGAAATCGGTTACCTAAAACCAACTGATATTAATGCTTGTTGAATAACAGTAATATAGGGTAGAACCCAGGTCTGCTCTGTTCCTCTGTAACCCTTCTGTAAATCAAAATGTAGATATTGTTCTGGAAGTAAAATTTAATCACATGACCAAGAACCTCAGCAATGACTGATCAGGGAGTGAATGCACCATTGCCCATACAAGGGATTTCTTTTAGTTCAGGGCCGGCCGGAACATCATAAAGAGGGTCTTCGGGTAGTAGCTCTCTCCACGCCAATTTTGCCACACCAGCACAGGTCCTAGTTCAAAGTTACGGGATTCTACCGATGTTTTGGGTGGGTCACCAGGATTTTTCTGGTACCTACCAGTTGGATGGGCCTGGTAACAGCCACGGTAACCCCGATACCACCAACCACCGGAATTCCTCTTGGCACAGTGGCCACCTGAAATATAGAGCAGATAGCATTTAGATTTGAAATTCAATCGTTTGCTGAATCAATACTATTCACTTCAACATGTCTAATATGATAACATTTAATTTTCAGCACCAAGTGAAGAATATTAATACAGCAGACCATTATAATCTATAATTATTTGGCGACTTCGATTTTAAAATGCTTGCCGTCGGAGAACTTTGAGATTAAAGCCTTTATAGGTGTATTTTTTATTTACTTAATACAATGTTACTGTTGTATCTACACATTACTACTCCAATTAAATAGTTATCAAGTCCTTTGACAAATTAAAAAAATAAAAAGGCCTAAATGAGTCTGGATGACTTAAGTCGAAGATTTGGGATTATGGGATTAATTTTTTTATGAGGAATTTAAGTATCTGATAGTTCTTAAATTGTAAACTGAAGTAAAATTCAAAAATTTTATTTATTGCATTGTGATTAAAAAATCTGTTTTAATCACAGGTGGACAGTGGGAAAGCAGCATTGCACATGGCTACCAAAAAATAGCAGAAAATACATACAAACAGTATGTGATGAAAGTAATTATCAAAAAAAGGCACCAAGTCAGGAAGACCATTTATCATGATCTATGTCACAGGATAATTGAAAGTTCCTAACTCTTACTTGGTATGCCAATACTAGAGCAAAAAAAAGCCATATGAGTGACGTCAAAAGCACTGGATATCCCAGTGATTCTATTGAGGGGTAATTGACTCTCCAAGTCTTGCTTTCCAAATATCCATCAATGATGAAAATTAAGAGATTCTACAAAGTACACGACTACATGCAAAACAATGCATTTTGGAGAATAAGGAGCAGCATGTTATTCCATGAGTTAATCACATGTGGCTGTTATACTGCCTACTAAGATGTGTTTCCCCATTGTCTTACAGTGGTAGGAGGAAGGCCATAGTGAGAAATCACATTTTAAGATTATGCAGTTTGTTCACTGTAATACCAGACTATCGACCTTGCCAACATTCATGAATTGTGTGTGCAATATAAACGGCCGAGTAGAAATTCAAACAAGTAATCACAGGCACGAATGTCCTATTTAGCAAGGTCATGTGCAAGTTCATTCAAAGTAATACCAATATGGCTAGGCACCTTACAAAATTGAACTGTCTTAAATCTGCTACAGATGAGAAACAAAACTAGATTTCGATCAGCATAGTTTGAAAAGAGTTAAAAGACTAAAGAACCATGCGGGCACAGAGAGAGTGCCACAATAAAATAAAGTTGGCGCATAAAAAGCAGGCAATGAAAATTACACAAATTCTAATGAAGCTCCACCATGGAGATGCTAGTTTCTAAGGGAAAGACGTACACATAGGTTTAATCGAAAGAGAACAGAAGAATAGCCAACACTTTTGCCAGACTTTGACCAATAAAACAGTAAAGTGTGATTTACTATTCTCCCAGTAAATTTACACTCGTAGTCTGAGCAAAACAGGAGTGGCCCCCGACCCTTCACTGTTCCTCACAGCCTAAACAAAACACAGGGGTGGCCCCCACCCTTCACTGTTGTCCCTCACAGCCTAAACAAAACATAGGGGTGGCCCCCACCCTTCACTGTTGTCCCTCACAGCCTAAACAAAACATAGGGGTGGCCCCCACCCTACACTGTTGTCCCTCACAGCCTAAACAAAACATAGGGGTGGCCCCCACCCTACACTGTTGTCCCTCACAGCCTAAACAAAACATAGGGGTGGCCCCCACCCTACACTGTTGTCCCTCACAGCCTAAACAAAACATAGGGGTGGCCCCCACCCTACACTGTTGTCCCTCACAGCCTAAACAGAACACAGGCAGCCCCCATCCTCCCCCTCATGTCCCTCATAGCTTAATCTTCACTTTCTCACTTCCTTTAGATACAGCATAAAAGATTGTATCTTTAGAGCTGCGGTGAAAGGAAAGAGTTACGCGAGTATTTCAGTAGTGGAGTAGCGGGAGAAAATGGGAGTTGTCATGGTGTGGGGAGTTAAACAAGTTCCCTGTAAAACAAGACTAATATAGCATACTAAGCATTATAAAATAGTATAAAATAATCATATACATGTGTGTGTGGTAGTTGAGAGAGGTCATAGGTCACATTTAAAAAAAAAATGGCACACAATAACTGATTAGTGTGTAAAGGAAGAATGAGAGCGAGCCATTGGAGGGATGACTTACCCAGGAGAACATCGTTGTCACGGTCTGGGGTGGAGAACTTCATGCCGTTGTGCCACTTTAGGGCATCTCCAGCCTGGGAGTTGCTGGTGTAGCGCACCACCTTCAGTTTGTACTTCTCGCTTTCCCCGGCCACACTGTCCACAGCCATGTAAGGGAAAATGCTCATTAAAAGACGTGCACAAACCACTTACAAATAATACATACAAACGTATACATCAGAGAGAGATTGTCTGTTTGTACAAGGTTGGATGCCAAACGCCTGGGGTTAGCCTCGCCCAGCTTTGCAGGTAAAATGTCTGGGGTACCTGATGGACATAAGCTGGCCGAGGGAAAAGTAGGAGCAGGAGTAAGGGAGGGGAAAGGTCCTCATTCAATGTTCTTTAAGTGAGCCTCGGGTGTTTTTTTTTTATCCAGAACTATCCCTAGACCTTTTTCTTTACCAGAGTTCTTTAAGTGTTTTCATAATTTGTAGGTTTAATGTGGCATAAATATCTCCTTTTCCACATTCTATAACATGGCATTCATTCATACTGTATTAATTTTCATTTGCCAGGCATTACCCCATATACAGTACTTATTTTGTCCAGGTATTCTTGAAGGGCATGACAATCGTCTAAGTTTATTATTTTCCTTAGTATCTTAGCATTATCAGCAAACATTGCTCATATAGTTCTGTAGTCCTTCTGATAGACCATTTATAGCGTGCGTGCGTGCGTGTGCGTGTGTGTGTGTAATTATCTAAGTGTAGTTACAGGATGAGTTATGCTCGTGGTGTCCTGTCTTCCTAGTACTCTTTGTATTGTTTAATGCTTTAAAGAGTACAGCCGTCTGCCACTCTGTTTGCAAAAGAAAAGGCGATGATGAAAAGCTAGATGGATGACAGGTTGTAAAACGAGCACTGGTAACCAAGAGGAACCTCTGAAGAACGTATAAAATCCACCATGGACATCATTAATTATGAGTTATCCAAAAGGGCACTAAACTCGGCCACTCAGAAAATCAGGTCAGCCAAAAGAAACTATTAAAGAAAACTTAGTCTAAACAGAAAGATCCAAAATCGTTCTATGCCTATACAAGAGGTAAAACCAAAACAAAGGACTCGGACCTTAATAGATGAGAATAAACAAGCTATAAAAGGATGATAAAAGGGCAGAAAACACTAAATGATTATTTTACAGCAGTGTTCACTCTCGAAAGGTTAGATGACCTTCCATCATCCACACAAATGTTTGAAGGAGGGGAGGAGAACGAATTTAGGGATATACCCATAACATGCAAAATAATTAAAAAGAACATTGACAAACTAAAAGACTAAAGTCCCAGGTGTAGGTAGAATCCAGTCCAAAGTCTTAAAGGAACTCGCAGAAGGTCTATTGCCCAAAACGATGTGCGTGTATTAGTGGCTTTAGGCACAGTATGTAGTAGCTCTATCTATTAATCCAACATTATATTTGTAACTCATTTTGAATGCATGTACTTTTACCTGAATAAACATCTTATTTTATCTTATCTATGCTTACTGCTGAAACTACTTTTCACAAAATTTCTGGACCCAGGGGTAGTCCCCTAGATTGGAAATATGCAAATGTCACCCATATTTTCAGAAAAGGTAGAAAGAATTCAGCAGAAAACTACCAGCCGATCAGCTTGACACCACACATCTGCAAGCTCACGTAGAGAATCCTCAGGGAGGGAATCATTTACTATCTTTCAGTGAACAATCTTATACAATCGACACATGGATTTGTTAAAAACAGATCCTGTCTTACAAACTTGCTCATATTTTGGGAAAGGGTAACCTGCTACTTAGACAAAGGCCTTCTGGTGGATGTAGTATACTGTACTGTACATGGATTTTACTGAAGCTTTTGATAAGGTATCACATTAAAAACTGGCAAGGCAATTACAGGCCCATGGAATATATGGTAAAATATTAGAGTGGATAAAACAATGGATGTAGGAAAGAAAACCAAGGGTCGTGCTAAATGGAAACGAATCTAAATGGAGAAATGTGATAAGTGGGGTATCACAAGGGTCTATTTTGGGCCCTACCCTTTTTTGTCATGTACTTCAATGACAGATGAGAATGTTACAAACCACATCATGAAATTTGCAGATGAAAGATTATGGTAAAGTACTCCAGAGCAATGTTTAAAGTATATGATTAAATAAATATAAGAGAAGAGGGACGTAATAGAGCCTCCTACCATTATGGTACACAGACCTAACAGGGCCTCGTAGTTCAGGTACATTGATCGAATGAAGCCTCCCACCATTATGCTACACAGCCTCCTACTGTTATTGTCGTCAGTGACAGTCAGTACTGCCTTCCCCACTACTTCTGAACACTTCCGAACCATTTGCTCCCCCTCACCTGCCTGCTAACACCCTGACCCGCCTGCCAGCACCCTGACCCGCCTGCCAGCACCCCCTCACCCGCCTGCTAGCACCCCCTCACCCGCCTGCTAGCACCCCCTCACCCGCCTGCTAGCACCCCTCACCCGCCTGCCAGCACCCCTCACTCGCCTGCCAGCACCCCCTCACCCGCCTGCCAGCACCCCCTCACCCGCCTGCCAGCACCCCCTCACCCGCCTGCTAGCACCCCTCACCCGCCTGCTAGCACCCCTCACCCGCCTGCCAGCACCCCTCACCCGCCTGCCAGCACCTCACCCACCTGCCAGCACCCCTCACCCGCCTGCCAGCACCCCCTCACCCGCCTGCCAGCACCCCCTCCCCCGCCTGCCAGCACCCCCTCACCCGCCTGCTAGCACCCCTCACCCGCCTGCTAGCACCCCTCACCCGCCTGCTAGCACCCCTCACCCGCCTGCCAGCACCCCTCACCCGCCTGCTAGCACCCCTCACCCGCCTGCCAGCACCCCTCACCTGAACTCTTTCCACTCGGCCCAAGCAGAGTTGTTTTTCCAGTCGGTGATGTTGACACGAAGTTCATGGTCTCTGAGCCTGGTCATCACGTGGAGGGCGTCCAGACCTGCAAGACACCGTGTTTTAGTACACTGTAGTGTGTGGCACTCTGCCCTCGCTATAGCGTGTTGTAAGCAAGGCTTATCAAGTGTATAAACATTCATACTCTATATACAGAACACAAATTTATAATTTTATAATTAATTGTGTCAGGGAAACAAAGCCAGAGTGTATTCCTGAGTTTACCTGAAAGCACCTAACACTAGTGGCCTCGACGAGGACAGGAAGCTGGCGGCTTGTCGAAGGTTTCCCCATTTGCCTCTATCTTTTCCAGTTGTACTTTAAGAGAGTTTTGGCATTTACGGCCTCGGCGGGTAGGTGGTTCCATGGATTTATAGCCCTATGGATGAAAAAGTATCTCCTGTTCTCAGGTGACTTGTTGAGCTTGAAACCGTTTCTCCTTGTGTTACATCTGACCATTTGGAAGAAATTTTCCGGATCAATATCTTCCAAATTGTTTAGCATTTTAAAACTTTCGATGAGATCCGCCCTGTCATGCCTGGTTTGTAGTGTTGTTAGCCCTGTGGCCCTAAACCGTTCCAGGTACGCGAGTTGACTTGGTTCTGGAATTATTTGTTTTGCCCGGTGTTGCACTTTCTCTAGAGCAGGAATGTCCTCCTGAAGTTGTGGTCTCCATGCTTGGTATACAGTAATCCTCACCAGGGCGCACCAGAGAGTTATACAACTGAATCACTACCTTCTTTTCCTTAGAAGTCGAAGATAAGCTTCATTACTCCAAGTGTTTGGTTAGCTTTGTTCAATGCTGGAGTTATTCATACACATTAGGCTTAAATCGAGGCCCTCCACCCCCCGGGTGAACTGGTTCCTGTCGACTAAGGTGCAACCCACATCACTTCTGAGGAAGGGAATGTTCAAGCAGTCTCCGTGGCGCAGTGGTAAGACACTCGCCTGGCGTTTCGCAAGCGCCTTGCCTTGGGTTCGAATCCTGGCCGGGGAGGATTGACCGGGCGCCAATCCTTAACTGTAGCCTCTGTTCACCCAGCAGTGAATGGGTACCTGGTTGTTAAACGATTCGGCGGGGTCGTATTCCGGGGAAATTAGGGTTAAGGATCTTGCCCGAAACGCTACGCGTAATAGTGGCTTTACAAGAATGTAAAAACTCTTGTATGTAAGAGAAAGCGCCAAGCCATTACGACAATATAGCACTGGGAAGGGGTCAGGATAAGGATTTGGGATGAGACGGGAGAAAGTAATGGTGCCCAACCACTTGGACGGTCGGGGATTGAACGCCGTCCTACATGAAGTGAGACCGTCGCTCTACCGTCCACCTCAAGTGGTTGGGCTCACTTCTGAGGAGTTAAAGATGAATAATAAGAAGGAAACTATACAGGTGTCGGTAAGATCACAGCCATTCAATCGGGGACCAGACAATGGGGAAGGGTGCGCTCAACAGATGGCGTCGACATCGTGAGGCAGACAGGCAGACAGGCAGACAGACAGACAGACAGACACACAGACACACACACAGACCCCGGCACCGCTGGGTGTCCCATCTTATGTTCTGGTAACACCAAAGCGGAAAGTAATAACACAGAGGGAAAACTAAATATATGCAGGTGTGGCAGACTATGTGGGGAGCGTCCCAGGTAATTTATGCAAATTCCATATGCGTGTGGAATGCCAGAGCGGCGGCCACAGTCCCGCACCCCGCCGCCACAGTCATTCCTCCAGCTCCCGGCAAAGGGGCCACCACCTTCATCAACCATTTACGCATCTACTTACGAAACCTGTACATCTTTCAACAATCAAGGTGGGTTTATATACATTAAACAGTTTACAAGTTTGAAAACCTCACCACCCAAAGTTATTATTGACCTTCTGAGTTCCTAAACTGTTTACTGATAGTCGCCATGATTCCGGAAAGAGGTTCAGGTTTATGAAAATGTGTTTTTTTTTTTGAGATATATACAAGAGTTGTTACATTCTTGTACAGCCACTAGTACGCGTAGCGTTTCGGGCAAGTCCCTGGAATACGATCCCCGCCGCGAAGAAACTTTTTTTTTTCATCCAAGTATACATTTTACTGTTGCGTTAAACAGAGGCTACAGTTAAGGAATTGCGCCCAGTAAATCCTCCCCGGCCAGGATACGAACCCATGACAAAGCGCTCGCGGAACGCCAGGCGAGTGTCTTACCACTACACCACGGAGACTATAGACTATGGTTAGGTAAATGACGAGCGAATGCTGGCCCTGGCTTTGAGATGGTCGCAACCATGTAGAGAGTTGAAGATGCTGGAGGCAAGAGAAGATGGGTGGCTGTGTCAGGAGAGGTGCAGTGAACTAGCACACAACTGATACTAACGACCGGGTGAAAAGATTAGAGTGGAAGAGGCTGTGGAACATGACACGCACAGTATGAAGCATCAGCTCAAACGTTTCACGCAACCACGTTAACTTCTGGTGATGAATTAAATATTTTATTATTTTAATATAACAAGTGCCAGCGTTATCTGTCTGACCAAAGACCATCCTCACTCCTCTCCCCTTAGACAGCATCCAGCCTTCTCCATAGACACCATCTGACCCCCCCTACCCATCCATGGACTCCTCCCAACCCCTTTTCCCTCCATGGGTACTCCCCCCCTCCATGGACACCAACTGACCCCTCTCCCCCTCCAAGGACACGCAACCTCAATTGATTGGGTCGGCGGCTCCTGGGTCTCAGCCCCGGGTCCAGACTCGTGGAATTCAATATTTATAAAGAAATGCAAAGTGCCAGTAGCACAGGCACTCGGTATAGTGTGGAGGAAGAGCTTGGACACGGGGAGATACCAGATGCGCTTAAATCAGCAGCCGCACGCGCGTGCACACACACCCACACACTTGGCACAGGAGCGGGGCTGTGTGTAAGTCCACTACGGGCTCACCATAGCCCGTGCTACTTGGAACTTCTTGTTCCGAGTAGCTGAATCTAAAAACAACAACAATAGCTCCTCTACACAAGGCAGGGCGCAAAGCATTGGTTAAAAATTACAGACCCGTTGCACTAACGTCCCACATAATAAAGTATTTGACAGTGATCAGGAGCCAGGTCACCAGTTTCATGGAGACCAATGACCTCCACAACCCAGACCAACATGGATTAAGAGCGGGAAACTCGCAGCTACTTGATCGCTATGACAAAGTCACTGATGCAATAAACGAAAACCAGAATGCAGATGTGGTATACACGGACTTTGCAAAGGCATTTGATAAATGCGACCACAGTGTGATAGCCCACAAAATGAAGTTAATAGGAATAACAGGTAAAGTAGGACGATGGATATTAAATTTTCTGTCAAACAGAACGCAAAGGAGGAAGTGGACTGTGATGGCGGGATATTGGCTCAAGCCAGCGGGGCGTAGCAGTTCTGTTCAGCAAGCCAGACTGGATGGATGGGCCAGTGGAAGCCATGGGTACATCAGCAGTGGAGCTGACCACATCAGCTGGTCGACATGTCCTGGGTTCTAGCCCTCCACACCCCCCTTGTAGCAGTGTGGACCTCTTGGTGGATTACGCCCGCGTGAGCTGCAATCTGAGTGTTAGGAGTCACTAACATTTAGCCAGTAAATATATGTATATTATATATATATATATATATATATATATATATATATATATATATATATATATATATATATATATATATATATATATATATATATATATACTGTATATATATTATATAAATAAATATATAAGTAAAAGAGAGAGAGAGAGAGAGAGAGAGAGAGGGGGGGGGGGTTCTCTGGAGACAGGAAGGATTCAGGTATTAAAAGGTAACCAGCGGACATATACTGATACATATTAAGATACTGAAACTTACCCAGTTACAACATGGCCAAGTGCCTCACTTGGCCATCCTGGGATGGCCAAACTTTACCCATAGTCCAGCCTTCATAAACCTCCAATATGGTTTCACCCAACTCTGCATGTTTGCCCATCTTGGGTTGAATATCAACGCACGTGCCTCTCCCAGTGTACCTACGACACTCCCAGTGTACCCCACGACACTCCCAGTGTACCTACGACACTCCCAGTGTACCTACGACACTCCCAGTGTACCCCGCGACACTCCCAGTGTACCTACGACACTCCCAGTGTACCATCAACACTCCCAGCGTACCCACGACACTCCCAGTGTAACCCCACGACACTCCCAGTGTACCCCACGACACTCCCAGTGTACCCCACGACACACCCAGTGTACCCCACGACACTCCCAGTGTACCTACGACACACCCAGTGTAACCCACGACACTCCCAGTGTACCCCACAACACTCCCAGTGTACCCCACGACACTCCCAGTGTACCCCACGACACTCCCAGTGTACCCCACGACACTCCCAGTGTACCCCACGACACTCCCAGTGTACCCCACGACACACCCAGTGTACCCCACGACACTCCCAGTGTACCCCACGACACTCCCAGTGTACCCCACAACACTCCCAGTGTACCCCACGACACTCCCAGTGTACCCCACGACACTCCCAGTGTACCCCACGACACACCCAGTGTACCCCACGACACTCCCAGTGTACCCCACGACACTCCCAGTGTACCCCACGACACTCCCAGTGTACCCCACGACACTCCCAGTGTAACCCACAACACTCCCAGTGTACCCCACAACACTCCCAGTGTACCCCACAACACTCCCAGTGTACCCCACAACACTCCCAGTGTACCCCACAACACTCCCAGTGTACCCCACGACACTCCCAGTGTACCCCACGACACTCCCAGTGTACCCCACGACACTCCCAGTGTACCCCACAACACTCCCAGTGTACCCCACGACACTCCCAGTGTACCCACGACACTCCCAGTGTACCCACGACACTCCCAGTGTACCCACAACACTCCCAGTGTACCCCACAACACTCCCAGTGTACCCCACAACACTCCCAGTGTACCCCACAACACTCCCAGTGTACCCCACAACACTCCCAGTGTACCCCACAACACTCCCAGTGTACCCCACAATACTCCCAGTGTACC